TGCAGAACAAATATTTTTACAAATAACTCCACCCCACATTTGTTATTATCCTCACCCAAAATAATTTATCTAACAATATCTCTATAATATTCACTGATGTGAATGCTTTTATATTGTTTATTATCCGTCACACACGACAAGCCGAGAATGGTGCATGACACGGCCGGAGAGACAATTATTGATGTTTTCTCTTAATGTGTCACATTAAATAGCACTTTTGTTTTTTTTTGTTTTTTTTTTTTTTTTTTAAATCTTAAATTGAGAAAGTTGACATTAAATAGAAAAATTTTGTTAAAAATTTGTAAGTTGAGAAGTTGATATTGAATAGAAATTGTGTTCAAATTTTATAATTTGATAAGTTAGTACTTGTGGTGACCGAATCTAGAGTCTAGACGCTTCACGCACCTTATTAAGTACCATATAGCATTTCTAGACGACCGAATAACTCTCACGCTAAACCACTCCAAACCATTTCTCGATATTGAGTAGTCCTTTCTCACAGAGCGTTATGCTGTGCAACCGTGTGCACTATGCAAGGTGCACACAGAATTAGATCCATAATTTTTATACTATAGATCCATAATTTCTATACTATAGATTCATAATTTCTATACTGTAGAATCATAATTTCTAAACTGTAGATTCGTAATTTCTAAATTGTTGAAATATCGTTAAATACAATGATATTTTGATTTTTTTTTAATACAAAGTGGGTTGACCCGCAATATTTTTATTTTTAATTTTTTTAAAAAATTCATAATTGATGACTTAAATACCCTTATATTTTTCATAATTTAAATGGTTTTGCTTATGGAGACCAAGTGGTCATGTCACAATAATACTATGACCAAATGTGAATATTTTTTTAAAAAATAAAAATAAAAAATGACTAAAAGTAGATTGCTACCTATAAATATAGGACCAGAAATAAAATTAACTATTATTATATTTTTATAAAATTAACTATTATTATATTTTTTTTGTCAGACTACGAGGTGTCCTGAGCACGCCCTAACTATAAGAGGCACATTTAAGCCCGCACCATACTGGCCCAATTAATGGGTAAAATGCTGGCGAGATTGATTTTTTCATATGAAAAGGGGGTTCGAACTCCCAAGCAACCAAGTTGGGATGGTTTATTATTATTATTATTATTATTATTATTATTATTATTATTATTATTTTGTTCATTACATTCATGGATGCATTCGAATTTAAAAACTTTAATTAAGCTAATATCAATTTAAAATTATAATAAACTATTGATCCATTTAAATAAGTTACACTACAACAAAAGTCAATTTTATCAATGAAAATTTGTAAGTATATCAACAAAATTCGTAAATATTTAATTTATAAATAATATTACATGAACAAACAAATTTCATCATTTGTCATGGTAATATATCATTCGTATGTCCAATACAGGAGAATAGTGAAGTAGCCGTTCTAATGTCCAATATGACTTCGATCAACTTTAAATTAGTTAGAATATAATACAATTTTTAATATTTATATGTAATTATAAAAATAAAAATAAATAAATAAATAAAAACAAAGCAAAACAAAAGATGAATATGTGGGAAAACAAAGGTGTGCGTGACGTGGGGATCTGTACCGCCTGTGCCTCCAATCCGATGTCGGACATGTGTACCACACCCACACCCAAACCAGATTCTTTCACACGCTTTCTATAATATTTTTTTTTTAACAATTCAAGATTTTTAATTTCGTCATACTATATATTAAAGCTTATGAATTTTTTCTTAAACTCTTTAGAAAATAAATCAAGTCAATTTAAATTTGATACTTAATATCAAATTGTATACATCTGTTCACCAAATCCCACTTTCAATAATTCTTAGGCATTTTCAAAAACAAAAAAAAACAAAAAAAAATCTTAGGCATTTTTTGTTCACTAACTCACCATAATTTCATTTCTATTTCGTTACTTTTTATCATGGTTGAAAAAAACCTATAGTGATCCTCGGGTGTCTGGGAGGTGCCTAGGTGGTGATTAATCGGCGCCTAATCGTCCGTGTATTTTTTATTGTATTTTTTATTTTTAAAAAAATTATTTAATGTTTTTAAGACTAATAATTATAAATTATTGAATACTTTAATAGTTAATATTAAAATATTAAATATTAACCTTAAAAATTTAGAGTTTGAACAATTTAGGGATATTTTGCCCAAAACGATGTCGTTTTGAGTGAAATAATTTTTGTTTTTTTTTTTAAAAACGAACAATAGCTATTTGGCCGACTACGCGGCCTAAGAGGTCTAGTCGGTGCCTAGGATGCCTAGACGGTCAGTGCCTAAGCGATCTAGTCGGCCGCTTAGCAGGCTGATCTCCTAGACCACTGATTATGGTGATACGCTAGGCGGTCAGCCGGCGCCTAGGTGCTGATTAGATGGGATTATTGCAACACTACTTTTTATGTATCGGTTACATTAAATTTTGCAATCTCTGTAATGTTTCAGTGATGTTTTAACTCCGCCTAAGAGGTTAGCTTCTTTTATTTATTTTGTATATGTTAAACAATTTATAATTTGTTACACTCTAACATTTATCATCTTAGAGTAACATATAAGACATATGATGGATATATTATAAATGAAGCAAACAGACCCGAGAAAACGGAGCAGGGAGAATTCAAGCGAACCCGGGGCACCGAGGTTGAGCCCCGTGTTTAACCCAGCTCACCTAAATACCACCTCGGCCCAAGGTCATGGCTAGGAGGCTTCGGCCAAGTAGCCTAGGCCCAAGGCATGCAGTCGGCCAAGCGGTCTCGGCTACTGGGCCTCGGCATGTCAAACTACGAGTCTAGTCTCGGGATAGGACGCGGTCAAGGCGGAGTTGTAACCGTCCCACCACATTAGGGGGGGCGGTTAGGGGGTTTCTTATGTACAAATAGTCTCATTGTTGTCTCATTAAGACATATTCTAGATTCTTGTCCTAAATTACTCTTGTAATAGCATTACACCACCATTGTAATAACTTGGCAACGGTCATCTAATACAATATTTGGTCTCCGCAACCCTACAACACTTGTTTTACACTTTTACCTATTTACCTATCTCTTTACATTATTTGTTAATTAGAGTTTAATAATTCGGTCCACCCCGAATTAATTAAATCCATGAACATACACAAAAATTTTGATTTGTTGAAGTGGAGCTACCAATTTTTGGTGAAATTAAAACCATCAATAACGTGTACTTTAATTTAGTTACCAAATTTTAATCACAATATAGTACTCTTAATCACGGTGTGGACCATTCAACTAGTTACAGTTGCTTTAAAAATGAGAGGGCAGCCCCCCACACCACCCCTTCCCCCCTCCCCCATGGCCATGCATGATTGCATGTAGACTTAGTATTAGGGGCTTCCTATCCACGGGCTAACCTTTGTCACTTTAAACTTCCTAGTTTCATATATATATATATATATATATATATATATATATATATATATATATATATAATCATATGAGAACACTTGCTTAGGTGAGAACGTAAGAACAAATCGTGTGCATTCATCTAATATTTTTTAATGGTCTAAATTAAATTAAGTGTGTGCGAACGCGAATTAAATGCGTGCAAATGCGATTAAGTGTGTTTGCACACATTTAATTTGCGTTCGCACACACTTAATCTAATCTAGACAATTAGATGAATGCACACGATTTGTTCTCACATTCTCACCTAATCACGTGTTTTCATTGGAACCCTACTCTATATATTGTTAACTAGGGATGACAAATTAAAATACATCAAAATCTACAAAGTATAAAATAAAATGAAACGAAATTTGAAGGGAATTCCCATCCTTACTATTAATTGAGAAAAAATGAAAGAAATTCGATAATAATGGGAGAAATGGAAGGCAATCGAGACATTCTTGTCACCCAAGGAAGAATTTGGCGAGAAAGTTGAAAAGGAGAACCGGGAAAACGTAAAATTAAAATATTTACATAAAAAACAAAAATAAAAAATAAAAAATAAAAAATCGAAGTCCAGGAATGCAACAGACGAGTGACACGATCGCCACGTGTAACCGGAAACAAGTTGACGCTCCCGGTTGCCGGTCAACAACGCCGCGTATGGAAACGCCGACTGCCGTCGGATGGGTGGTCCCCGTCCTCCCCCTAACATTAATTGCTGCTAATCTCTTCTCTATGCCCTTCCCCCACTATACTCTGCATTTTATGTATTTTTTTTTTTTTTTTTTTTTGGGTGAGGTAAGCATTATATAGGATTGTATGTAATTTGTGTATGTTTGGTAGGCTTTAGTTGAAATTCAACTACAATCTAATTCTTTGACAGTAACATTATTTTCAGTTAAATTTCGATTTAGTCTAAAAAAAAAAGGAAAAAAAAAAGACTATTTTTACCTTTAATTATTATTGCACAAACACATTTTAGTCTTTATATCACTCCTTTTTCATTCTTAATCATTCTATTCTTTCGTACAAAATAATATAATTTAAATTTTTACTTTAAACTGATGATAATGTGTTTCGTGTCCAAAATTATCAGGTGTATAGTGTTGCTGATGAATAGATTTAAAACAAAATTATAGCAATAGAAATATATTTTTTTAGTGACCAGAAAATTTATGACCATTATTTTTCAACTCTGAAAGGTTGAATCCTCAACTCTAAAGACCTTCACACCCCGGCTAAACTATTATGACTCAATGACTCAGCAAACATGACCAAATATAGGTGTGCACAAAAAATCTGTCCACTTTAAACATAACCTCTATATTGTCTCTACCGAGATTCAAACTTTAGTTTCTTCTCTCATATACTGTCTAATGAACTAGTAACTTATGTTCAGACTTTATTACCATTATTTTAGAGCGTGCACTGAGCGTGCGGTAGAAATATTTTTCCGAGTGGTATACCGGGGATCGGCGGTCAAGTGTAAAAGGCTGGGGCCAACCTGTTCTCCAAATACCACCCCCACAGAGAAAAAGTACCCAAACAAGAGAGAAAAAGTCTTCCAACACTTCAAAATCTACAAAATCCCCAAAACCCAATCTCTCTTCTCTCTCTCTTCCCTCTCTCTCTCTCTCTCTTTCTTTCTTACAGTGGAGAACAACAAAACACCTTCAAATGAAGAATCTATGCTTTTGATCATCAAATCTATGGAGAACAAGGCAGCTGAGCGGAGCAAAACCGAGAATAATAATAATCCCATGGTTAACCCTGCATTTTCCGACCAGATTCCGGCCACCTTTTCCCTGCAAACCCTCTTCGACATCCCCTCCTCCGATCAAACTGATCACCCCAAGAACCCACCTTCCTCAAGCTTCTTCGACTATCTCTTCCCTTCCCAAGACTACTCCGCCACCGTCTTCGATCTCCTCCAAACCCCGCCACCTCTCTTGATCCCGCCGCCGCCTCCGCCACCCTCCCAACCTCTCCCCGAGTCGTCGGAGGCGGTGAACACTCCGGCCACCCCCAACTCCTCCTCCATATCCTCCTCGTCGAATGAAGCCGCCATTGACGACCAGCTCCCTAAAACAACGGCAGAAGAAGTTGAACAGGAATCCGACAGAAGTAAAAAACAGTAAGCTCCTTAACCTTGTTCTCCCCAAAAAACATAGTGTGAACACGTTTTCTTATCATTTCCCTTTTTCTTTTTATTATTATTATTATTCCAAAATATCCATTAGATAAAGTAATGGATGATTGGGATCCATTAGACTTCTGTTACTTGCATGATCTGATTTGTATTTTTCGATAATCTTTCTTTTTCCTCTGTTTTTTTTTTTCTTTAAATCTTTTAGTCCTTATTTTTGAGTATAAAAAGTGTTTTTTTTTTTAATGAAATTTATTTGTTTTTTTTTTTTTAATAGGTTGAAGCCCAAAAGGAAGAATCAAAAGAGGGAAAGAGAGCCAAGAGTGGCGTTCATGACAAAGAGTGAAGTGGATCACTTAGACGATGGTTATAGATGGCGAAAGTACGGCCAAAAAGCCGTCAAAAACAGCCCCTTTCCGAGGTATACCATATTCAATTCACTGCACGCACGCAGCCTGCACAATTTTAGTGTTTCAGACTAGGTTGTAATCACCGTATTCTGTGTTCTTTCCCACAATCTACCCGCCAGAACCAATTAAGTTATTCCTGTTTTTATTCACAATTTACCTATCAAGGACCAACTGAGCCGTCTGTGCGGGCCTGTATTCAATGTTCTTGTTCTTGGCATGGTTTTCTTGAATTATTGGGGTTTTTGTTTTGTTTTGTTTTTTTCTTCTTGGGTTTTGTTGTTTTTTTTATGATTTGTTTGTTTATGTAATGGGTGGGTGCAATGTTTTTTTCGATGAACGACGACAGGAGCTACTACCGGTGCACGACGCCGGCGTGCGGCGTGAAGAAGCGGGTGGAGAGGTCGTCGGAGGATCCGTCGACGGTGGTCACCACGTACGAAGGCACCCACGGCCACCCGTGCCCGGTGACGCCTCGCGCCACCGTTGGGATCATCATGCCGGAAGCCTCCAACTTCGGCAGCGTCAGCGCCCCCGGCGGCGGGACCGGAAGTCCGTCGTCGTCGTCTTTTGTCATCCCTCACCACCACTTTCACTACCCAATGCCGCAGCAACAACAGCCGTTTTTCGCGATAACCTCGCCGTTGCCGCCTCCTTTGAGCTACACCCCATCGACCGGCAACCAAGAGAGGAGGTTCGCCGTTCCGTCGTCGTCTTCTCCGGCCGCCCGGGACGACGGGCTTCTGCAGGATATGCTGCCATTCCGGTTGAGAAAGGAACCCGGCTCGGAAGAATAGGCTGATTAATTAATCCTCTCTCTGAATTATAGACATATCTAAAAGTGACACAGTTGGCCTGGAGATTTTTCTAAGTGCAGATCAGATTCTTGAAGTTGGGTTATCTTCTTTAAATTAAATAGATTATTATATTTCTTCAATTAATTAATATTTTTCATTTTAAAACATATCCATGCACCTAGGCTAGATTTTTAAGGTCTGTTGATTATTAGAAGATTTTGAGGTTCTTTCTTCTCTTCTTTTGTATTCTCTGTACTTAATTAGTTTTGGATTGAGCGAGCCATGGAGATAATATTGGTTCTTTTGTATGTATATTATTCCCCTTTGTATCTAATTCCCTTTTGTTTTCCTCTTTGCACATTCCATTTTAGTACCTATATATATAGCTTTCTGCTGCCCTTTCTTGTTTTGCATGCATGTGTAATGCTCTTCACTATTATAGGGTTAGGGTTTTCTCCAAAAAGGAAATTCATTAGTATCTAATTAATTTTCATCTTAAAAAAAGAATTTTGGATGTGCATTGTAATTAAAGAGTAGAATGAATTGTATATTTATGATTCACCCTGAAGGAATATATAGCGCTTTACAGTCCAGAGAAGGTTACAACATAAGCATAACTAAATGCTAAAGAAAAGTAATTAACAAAACCAGAAAATTAAGCAGGACATCGAATGGTTCATGGTATATGTTTAACATGGATATGTTGTGCAAAGAGTGTGCAAATCCATACGACGAGATTAGGTTAACTGTTTTTTAATCTAGATATTTCGATTGACATATAGTTAGTGGTTTCGAATTTTTAAAGATTTCCGTTATATAAGTATTCCAAAATAAGAAACTCCTTATAATTATTGTATGAGTTTTAATTTAACCGCGCGATTCAAGTTCTTCTCACTCAAATCAACCATATTTAGCATGAAGTATTAATTGAGTGTAGAGCACTCAAAATGGGATAGTACATGCAAAATGTGTTGAGCTTGACTAGTCTTGTTTTAAAAAACGAGTGAAGAAAAATTGAACTCAACTTGTAAACTAACTGGTTGGCCAGTTAAATGGGTCAGCCTGTTTATATATATATATATATATATATATATATATATATATATATATATATATATATTGTTAAATATTGTAATATTTGTATAACAATTTGTATATATATTGTAAAAATTGAAACTTTTAACTTCCTCATACATAACAACTAAGCTTCTTTCTAATTAAGCAAACTTGTATTTTCGAAACAAAGCAAATGTATACAATCAAGACTGATTTATCTACTAATAGTTAAAGTTACAGGGAGGGTTTTACCCATAGCTCGCTTTGAATTGGTACCGGATTCTCATAAATCAAAGTATTAATTGAGTGGATTATATTATATATACATGATTGGGCGTGCATGCTTTATATGCAAGACCTTTTAGTATTGGGACACAATGGTAGTGCTGATTATATATCATGTTGAGATATTCCTCTCGATCGAACATTCGAGTTGTAACAAGAGTTGACGACCATGCATGCATATATATGACTTTTCTGCTAAAGCTAATAATAATTTGGGATTTTCTGTACACAATTCTGTTGTATGTGGAAGAAAATCCCTACATTTTAACAACCTAAATCTCTTTCATTTGACTAATTGTTCCACATTTATCTAGTAATTTAGGTCAATAATTGAAGTACTTGACATTCCATGTTTGAAGTCCAATATTCACTCATAAAGTCTTAGAATGCACTCTTTTTTAGTCCATTAAGGTCCTGTCTAGTAACATAGTTAGCTTTTCAGCTAATATGAGTGTTTGATTAATTAATTTTTTGTAACAGCTTATTGTTTCAAAATGTTAAAATCTAAAAATATGCTCAAAACAATTTTCTCGATCCGTTTTTTGAGAAGGCCGGATATTTTGGATATAATCAGCTATCAGCTAATAACTAATTTACCAAATATCTTTCTACAATAAACTAATATTATCAACTAGTCAAACCCAGTAACTTAAATAAGCTAACAGCTACCTACCAAACACCCCTAATTCTTTCAAATATCAAATAATCTATTGCCACGCCATATTTGTAGAACGTTTATTGGCCTCTTGGGACATTTTATTATATTTATGAAGTTTATTTAAATATAAAATTTTATTTAAATAAAATGAAACCCTGATTAATCCTCTAACTTAAATGTATTTATTATTAACCCCGAATTTAGGATTATCAAGATTTTGTATCAACTCAATGCTATTAATAACAGTATCTACATGTAGATTTATAGGCTCTCAATCCATTTTGATCACATCAGCTATTGTAGCACTATAGCACCAAAATGTAAAAAGTTGAGGCCAAGGCATGGTGCCTCCCTAGCTTTTTCTACCCCCTTTTCAAGCCATACTTTCATCACTAAATTAAATGATAATGCATGCTAATTTTATTTTATTATTTTTTTTAAATATACATGTGTGTCAATATAGTATATTCAAGTGATCGAAAACAAATCTTTCGGAAAAAAAAAAAAAAAAAAAAAAAAAAGAAGAACTAATGTTAACCGTTAATATGAAATTATCAACGACTCAAAAATAAGGGAAAATGCAAATGATCGAGATTATTCCTCATTTAAAGTTGTTAATCATTTCCAACTTGTGATCCTAGCCAACAACAGACTACAATCAATGTGGTAGTCTATAATTTACTGACTCAAATCAAGAATGCCAATAAATAATCACGGCTGAAAATTATGGAATTTCCGACCACCTGAAAGTGATCTTAAATTAAGTCGAAAGCAAAAAGTGGTCAGAAATAGCAACAACGATTTTTCCGGCCCAAAAGTGGTCGAAACAAGGCTTTCGACTTGATTTAATATCACTTTCAGGTGGTCGGAAATTCCATAATTTCCAGCAGTGAACTACCATTAAGAGTTGATCGAACTTGAAACCATGTGACTCCCGTATAGTTGATCAAACATGGTCCTGTATTATATGACTCCCCCCACCCCACCCCACCCCCACTGAATTTTATCATTTGTGACCTTTATATGTATATATGGTTGAATTGGAGAATATATTGGTGGCTGTGATTTGAGGAGCATGGCTAGAGATTTTGTTCAAGATTTTGTGAGCATATATGTTATTGTTCTTGAAAATTATGGTATTCGATATATCGTACTATTAACTAGGAGTTGTAAAGGTGCGTCATGTCCATGCATATGAGGCTGTCTTTTTGCTTGAATTGTCGTCTTCAATTCAATGCCATTTCTACTTCTGTCTATGCATCATTGCCTTGCCTATACTATACGTTCCGGCCACGCCCCACTAAATATTCATTAATTTTACTTACTATCTTCATCTCACATTAATTAATTATTCATTTCCGTCTGCCATTATATTTCCCAGTTTTTATTTTTTTTCTCCTCCTCATTCTTATATATAATAATAAGGGTAATAATAATTTCTGGGTAAATAAACTTTACCCGAATTAAACAACACATTGCAAGCAAGCTACCTAGATGCATTAATGGCGTTTTTCATCAATTAATAATCCTTGTGTCTGTGTATTGCGCCACTAACTCTCGACCAAACCATGCAAGAGTTGTCTTGCCCGAATGGGCAGGTCAGTTGGTCGAAGGGGTGAAGTTCGGGAACAATGATCTGGGGTCGAGTCTCATTAGTGTGGAAGCAACCTCTCAAAGTGAGGGGGCTCTTTGTGTGCCGCAATAAGCAAAGATTTAACATCTGTGTTCATTCGAGTTACCATGATTTATATCCTCCCAGATGTTCTATCGATTGTCGGGCCGAAACGTATGGGGTCTTTAAGGTTGAGAATTCAATCTTTTGGAAACAATTCTAGAGGCAAGAGGAACGTAACCTCAACCGTTTCAAAACCTCAAACACCATAACGAATTAAAGATACCTTTAGCGAGATGATTTGCTGTCTTATTTTGATGAAGAGTTATTCTATTTTTAGTCTTAGATTTATAGGTGATAGTTTATTTTTAGTCTATCTTTTATCAAAATATTTCCTTTTGGTCCTAATATTATTGTGACAGGATTAATTTTGGCCCTCTATCAAAAAATCATTGAAATTTCGTTAAATATGACATTTTTATCTTTTTAATACAAAATGCTTTCACCCGTTCTGTATGTTATGTTTACTTTTTAAAAAAGTTCATAATTGAAGAGCGAAATGCTCTTGTATTTAACGCAATTTCAATGCTTTTTTTTTTTTTATAGAGGACCAAAATTGGTCATGTCACAACAATAATAATAGGACTAAAAATGAATGTTCTGATAAAAAATGACTAAAAGTGGACTGCCACCTATAAATTTAGGACACACAATGAAATTAACTCTTTTTATGAATAACGTTTTATTTAATTATAATATTTTACTTATTTCAATTCATACAGCCTGTTAAAAGTACCTTAATTTTGTGATTTAGCCTGTAGGTTCACAAGATGAAGTGGTATATTTGTGGGACAAATTACAGCTATCAAATTATCAATAAAATATTAATAAAACATGAATTTTAGTTTTTTTTTTTTCCATATCTTTTACTTGTAGAGTTATATATATGTGGAATTGCATATCTTTTTGCTTCATTTTGGTGATACGAATCTGCCTTCCAACACCAAAGTGAACATGTGAGAACCAAAATGTCAATGTCACAAAATTGAAAATATATTTTAATTGCATTAATTGACTATCAATCAACATATATAAATATAATAATAATGTATACCATATACATGTATATAACTAATCATGTATAAACAATGTCACCAGAGATCTCATATTTGAACCCTGGAATGCAAATATCTTAAATTCTATGAGGGAATGTTTTGTCACCCTTTAAAGTCTTATCCGTCACGAACAAGATCAATCTCAATATGTGGGGTTCTAATGTACCTTGACTAAGGAAATCAGTGGCCATACCAAAAATGTCACACTACATTTGTTTACTTACACGCATATTTTACTAATGTTCATAGTTGGAAAATTGCTAAACTTACCATCGTTTTTTATTATATCCTAAAAATTGGACGAAAATTAGAGAATTTTGAAATCATATCCTTCCAACCACGTCAGATGGTGATCAGAAAGTTCGTAGTACAATTATATAAAATAATTCAAACTATTTACATATTTCGAGTCTTTTTTCAATTCAAGTATTTAACACGTACAAACACTCGATCTTATCTTACACGAAACGAATGCATCGTGAAAGACGTGGAAAGAAACCAAAGAGCCATGTAGTGCTATCAATCAAAGTAAAAGCCAATATGAATCTATGAACAATGCAACAAACACATTGGAAGAACTTGAGAGGCTGGCAACAACTCTAAAAGAGGAATCAGAATGGACCAAAATTCTAATTCATGTTTAAAGTTATATGCATGAGGATTATTATTATCTGTGTCAGAGAGTGTTTGTGTGTGTGTGTGTGTGTATATATATATATATATATGAAGTTATTTATACAATGGAATATTCTTTGGTGCAGACACAAAATGGAAAATAATTGATATTCTTCGTAGCTGGAAGTCTCATATAATTTCTTTTGTAGTAGTAGGGTTAGTGGTATTTTCCTGTTTATTAAATGCTTTTTTTCTCGACTAATTCTATTCGTGTAAGGTAGGAATGCTCGAGGACTTCAAAAGCGACAACATATTTTTATGCGTTTTAAGTGAGACCTCATATTAAATTGGAATAAATTAATTAACGCCATCTCATTCAATTCGATCATACCCTACCCGCTCACTATTATGTTAATTTGATGATAGCCATTATATTATATATATACGTGTGGGAAAAGGGATAGAAATTTATTTTTTTTAAAAAGGGTTTGGATGCCTTTCGTGTATTTGTACAACTAACAATTTTGTCAAAAGTAGATCCCTCAAATGTGACATATATGGGGAAAATTAAAAAAGAAGTCATATCCTTAGATGATAATATACCAAAATCATCTTTATCCATAATTTTCTATGTTATTAATAATTTCTTTTATTTTTTTTTTATATATATCCTTAATTTACGGAAAAAACTTGCATCCACTATCCAAATGTACATTTGGGGTAAAGTCTACTTTGTAACCTTAGTCGGTAAAATACTACAAAAAGATAAACCAGCGTAAGTTGCTCATAGTTGACTGTCTCAAACCGAAAGTAGCAATATATAGGCAGTTCCCATAAAGAGTCACCCTAGCTTGAAAAGCATATTATATTTTGTTTCATAATTGATAAGCATATTTGTACTATGTTTTTCAAGATCAAACACTTATTATTACGCCAAAAGTAATAACTAGTAATAAATATACAATTTTATTTATATATACTTGCATAGCAAATCATCGTCACATATCAATGGCAGAATACTAAACGGATGCCCATTTAACTTTATATTTACGTAACAATCATTGTCACATTTAGCATTAGGTAACAAGACATATCAATAGAGAAACTAATTTTTATGCAAATTAATTATATTATTCAAGAATCTTGGTGATTATTTATCGTTTGGTGTTCGTGTTCGATCGGGAAGAAGCATAGTTACGTTGGAGTTAAAACTATTTTTTTTGCTGATATGGTGGATGACCCTCCGATCCCTTGGACGTAAAAATAAAAAATAAAAACAAAAAGAAGTATTATTTTGGTGTATAATATCTGATATGATAATCTAATATCTCCACCTTTGTAAAATTAACTTCAATTTGGTTTGAGTTACAACCGCAGAGCTTGACTTTTACTTTGTAAATGCTTACGCTTCCAAGACTTGAACTCACAATCTTCCAAATGAAAGTCCAACCCAGATACCATTGGACCACATAGTCCTGGTCATTGAGAACTATTTAATACGGCGCACACATATAAAAATCGATTCTCCGATTTTATAGTTACATTGCAACCTGCTTGACTTGAACAATTAAAATGAGTTTTGTAAAAAAATAGAATATCTAAAAAAAAAAATAGTGATATTGAAGACTCATTGTGTACAAAGTGTTCAAGTAGGGGTAAGAACCTAGGAACGACTGACGGCTCGAATCGTCATTTACCTCCTCTAGCGAATTTTGAAAAGGGGCTATGGAGTTTAGGATTAGTCTAGTATAAGTTGGGATACCTAATGTATTTTAAAAATAATAATAATAATAATAAAGTAGTGAAGGCCCAAAAGAGAACCCATTTTGTAAAGAAATGAAGGCCCACTTATAGAAAGTGAGCCCAGGCCCATAGTCGAGACAACATCTGTACTTGAAAGTTGAAACCGGGTTCGGGCCCTCAACTTCTTCTGCTCTGCGCGCCTCCCTCGTTCCTCGAATTAGAAGAGGTAAGTTCTCTCCAAATCTCTGTTTAATTCATTAACTAAAACCCTAGAGGAGTGATAATTTCATGTTTTCTGGCAGTTTAGCTCCATCTTTTGTTGATAGATTTGTAGTATTTTTCACATTTGTTTGCTCAAAGGTTCTTCGCATGTGCTTGCTAAAGGTCTATCGTTTTCAGTTTAATCAGCTACGGATTTAGACAATCTCAGCTGTTTCTTTTCTCTTTTTTTTTTGGTCATATTCGTCTACTTTATCAATTTAAAGTGGGCTCACTTTAAGTGAGGGATTAGAATTTTGGGTTGGCATATCATGTCAAATAGATGCGAAATGGTTGAAGAACAATCGTCATTGTAAGGTAAGATAGATTGATAGGTTTTTGTATTTATGCTAAACAGAACAAATTGAGGTTAAATCTGACTTGAAATGGATAGAAAGCTGAAAACTTTGAATTTGAAGTACTATCTAATTACTCATCTCAGTGCTGATAAAGATTAAAAATTTTACTGCATCTGTCCTTGGAAACCTGTAACTGAAAGGAAAATTCTTATTCTATGGAAGTTGAATTGTAGTATGATCCCAAAATTGTTTTGTTTTTTGGGTATAGAGAAACTTAATACTGAGCACTATGGAGTTGCTCTTCTTTTTAAAAAAAAAAAAAAAATGATATTGTATGTTCTTTTAATCTAAATTTAGTTCCACTTGTATATGATGTTGGTGTAGGGCATTGTGTTTACACTGGTCTAGTGGTCTTATTGCATGAATTATGTGTATGAGTGTGTGACTTGTTACAACTTACAAATTGCATGGTTCCACAGTCAGTCTCCATGCCATTTTCGTCCAATCATTACTTGTTCAATTCTACTTTCCTTGGCACCTCTTAGAGGGAAAAGACGGCTGATTCAAAGCACTGTATTACTTATTTTTCTTTTCATGAATCTGAGTTGGGGTGCCTCCAGATCTTAATTATTCTTTTGAGTCATTGTGGCTGGACAAATATGTTTTGTAATTATTCCTTTGTAATCTAAATCTGAATTTGACTCTTGGCTGGCTTGTTAGGCCAGTGTACAACATAGCTAATATAAATGACATCTGTGGTGCTTGGTTATTTTCAGGATGAAACTTATTCAAGGTATCTTGTATCATGCTAATGCTGGCCTTTCTCGTAAATTTCTCAGTCCTCAAGTGATCAGGACCTTTTCTACTAATCCAGGATACGGTTTGCACTGTATTTCTTGTTAAGGTCTCCAATAATCTCATGTTCCTACATTCAGGATTCTATATATATTTTGTTTATTGGTACAGATGTTAACAAGCTTAATCGAAGCTCAGTTGAGTCCGCTGATGACTTTGAGCAACGGATTTTTGGTGATAATGGTGGGAAAAGTCAAACTAATAACTCCTTTTACCGACACCTTGATAAGGCTGAGAGAGATCATAATAGATTTTGGCAGGGCTCCAACATCAATTCTGAAAACAGTTCTGCATTCTTAGATGATCTAGATGAGAGTTTTAACACATTGTCTGATGGGATGGATAATAAGTTGAAGGAGGCAGCCAGATATTTTGAGTATGACCCTGAAGAAGTTGATAAAGAAGATTACTCTTTCAGAAAGGATGTAACTTTTTGGCCTGGGAATACTTACGATATCAAGGTATTGCCCATGAAGTATTGATTTACAATATACCATGATTTGGTCTGCAGTAATTTATGTCATGTTCATTTGAATGGTATCCACTTTATGATACAATTATTCCCTCTTAGCACAGTAATTCTTGTTAGTCATTCTCATGCCATTGTTATTTTTCATTGTTCAATTTAGGATCTTGATCTTAGAAAACCAGGAGTACAGAAGCAACCGAAAAGGTCAGGGTTTGAAACAACAACAGAAGAAGTATTGCAGAAAGCTGATTTCAGGGTGTGTATTCTTGGTTCTATGTTATTTAATATTTCTATTATGTTCTTTTTGCCTATATCCCTGCAATACATTGTGCCCTATTTATGCTTTGTAACAATAACCTAAGCCATATTTGCTCCTCATGTGATGCAGCCCTTATAAATTACTACTTAAGGTTGCGTTACAGCACTTGAAACTATAAAGGTTGTAGTAGAGAATGGCATAGAAATTTCAGATTCTTATCCTTAAATCAGGAAAAGCTAAAATAACGAGTAGTTTGCCAAGTCAATTTAAAAGTATACACTAAATTGTTGGAACTGCTTTACTGTGGAACACTAACTAAGTAGCATATGTTTAGTTGGCAGGATGTTCTGGTTTGCTAGCCAGTTTCAGTCTGTTCCTGTTGACTTATTTCTTCTGAGCTCATCACATGCAAAATCTATTTTTTGATACTCCCCAATGATAGGTGCAGGATTTTAGCAAAGATAATCACCACCTTAAGCTATTGTGCTGTCATATGCTCCTGTCTCCTGATATGTCATTTGTGATCTTCTGTGTTTTATTACCTTATGATAAAATATGCCTTTTTATCTGGATATTTTATCACCGTGATAGGATGGGCTATTAACCTTTTCTTTTTTTACTTTGTGTTCAGAATGTGAGATTCCTTGCTAATTTTATTACAGATGCTGGAATTATCATCAAGAGAAACAAGGTAAACAATCAAATCAATCCGTTAACTTTAATCAAATTGGTAATGGACTATGAAGACTGAGTATTGTATCTAATGACCCTTCCCTTCTTGATTATAGACTAAAATAAGTGCCAAGGCTCAAAGGAAGATTGCTAGGGAGATCAAGACTGCCCGGGCTTTCGGTCTTCTGCCTTTCACCACTATGGGAACCAAACATTTTGTATTTGGCCGAACTATGCAGGCCCTAGAAGACGATTATGCATACGAGACTAACTACGCTCGCAACTTCGTTGATACAGATGCAAGTCAAGAACCGCTAGGCTAAACCCATTCTTTTTTGTTTTAGCCGCTTATGTTCTTATGAATAAGCTCTGAGCTATGAATGATGAAATATTTTTGCCTGAAAAATTGCATTAGATTTGCTAAGCATGTACTTCCCATATATGATCTCAAGGGAAAAACACATAGAAGATGCTGTAGTGTGCATGATTCTGCTTCGCAGTTTTGCATATGTAAACGCTATTAAACAGTAACCTTTTCACGATTTCAGCCCCTACAGACTACAGTAATAACAGTAGTTCGAATTTTCTCATTCTCTGGGATATTAAGTCATTCATTTGTATATCAACTTCTCTCATTCTCTGCAGAATATTCTTAAGTTGAGAAAAATTCAACAACTGCAAAAGCTGAAGCACATGGCATTAGGTAAACGGTTGGAGATATAGCTTGAAACATTCATAAATACATCAGGCTATGATTGCATGATTGAATCATCAGATTTTTAGCTTGACTGAATCTTGGGTTCTGGTACCCAGAATAGCTTTTATATAAGTAGTAATTTCACCACAGGAAGCTTACATATCTTGAGCTTATCCAAGGGGAAAACTTGGAAGAAAAAGAAATGGGAATTTACTTTCCTTTGTTGTGGTTAATGATAATGAAGGTTTGGGTTGTCACTTCAACCCCAACCACTCTAAATGAAACTTGCTTTGATGGTGCCACTGCCACCTTCATGTTGAGCTTTGGTTGGTACCAAGATAGCTGCCCGGAGGCCGAGGCCATTGTCTTCGCTTGGGTCGAGAGGGTGGTTTCTGAGGACCCAAGAATGGCTGCTTCTTTGCTTCGACTCCATTTCCACGACTGCTTTGTCAATGTAAGTCATCATCTCAGCTTTGCTTTCTTCTACCCATTCTTGGTAGAGCTATTCTACATGTAACACTTCTATTGCAGGGATGTGACGCATCGGTGTTGCTGGATGACACGCCGAATTTCGTGGGAGAGAAAACTGCAGGCCCCAACTTGAACTCCTTGAGGGGTTTTGAAGTGATAGACTCAATCAAAGCTGATATTGAATTTGTGTGCCCTGGGACAGTGTCCTGCGCTGATATTCTCGCCATTGCTGCCAGAGATTCTGTCCTTCTGGTACTCCTCTTTTCATTAATGTCAAAATCATAAAACTATGGTGCAGCCCCACCAAAGTTGGGCTGTTGTTGACTTGGTAACCACACTTACAAGTTCAACTTCCCCTTCCCGTGCGAGTAGCCTATTGGCCTTCTTGTTTTGAGCAAGTCAGCTATAGGCAACTTAAGTGGTTTACTTCCTTGAACCACGTCTCAAGGCGGGGTTTACCCCTTTACACAAAATTATAAAAAATGTTATTGACAGAGATATCTGAGTGGGAATAATGTTTTGAGGTAACATTGTTCAGTCAGGTGGTCCAACATGGGAAGTGGAAATGGGGAGGAAAGACAGCATTAGTGCTAGCAAAACAGCAGCAAATAACAACATTCCTGGACCCAATTCTGATGTTCCAACCTTAGTATCCAGGTTCCAAAACCTCGGTCTCACCCTCCAAGACATGGTTACTCTCTCCGGTAAACCCTCCCTTTCCCCTCCAATAATCATGACCACACTTCAATTCTCATTCTAAATCCGCAATTTTTAGTCCAGAAGTTGCTACACTTGTAAGAAAAGTTCATACCAATTATAAAAAAAATATTGATGCATATGAACAGGCGCACATACAGTAGGTAAGGCGAGGTGTTTCACGTTCAACTCCAGGCTTAGCAGCGGCAACGCACCGGATGTGAACGGCGAGTTTCTGCAGTCACTCCAGCAGCTGTGTTCTGTATCCGACGTTAACGCCACACTGGCAGACCTGGACGCCGCAACCCCTGCAAATTTCGACAATCAGTACTACCTCAACCTTGTCGCCGGCAAGGGTTTGCTCACTTCGGACCAGGTTCTGGCCACCGGCGATGATCAAACACGGGGAATCGTCGAGTCGTACATTGACGACCCGACGCTGTTCTTCGAGAGCTTTAAGAGGTCAATGATGAAGATGGGACGCTTGGCGCCAGGTGATGGAGAAGGTGGAGAGATTCGTAAAAACTGTAGGGTTGTTAATGAACTCAATTTCTGACTCACTGTAATCACTATCAAGCTCTCATGTAGTATCAAAATCACACCTCTATTATCATCCTTTATTTCTATCTACCTATAAGTGAATCCTTTGTTATCATAAAAGTACTAATCTCATATAATACAAAAACTAAATCTAATATTACCCTATAAGTCTATAATCCAAGGACTAAAAGTGCACTCTATTATAGGTCAATGATCTTTTTTTTTTTTTTTTTTTGAGTAATATTCACTCTGTTACAATGTAGTATCTATTTATAACTACTTTCTTAACCTGCTAAAGCATAAAGAGTCAAAAATACCACCCCAAGTGACCTTCCATCGGGAGAACCACTTCATACCACTAGACCAGAAAATCATTTGACTTATAAACATAATTGCAGTAAAGCACTAGGCATTAGTCGGCCAGTAAAATAGTGCCTAGACGGCCTAAGCAGCTAACTAAAAAACAAAAACAATGCAATGCACATGTGGGTGTATGTCATTATATATATATATATATATATATATATATATATATATATATATATATATATATATATATATATATATAATTACCTTTTTTATTTATATAAATAAAGATAATATAATGAAAACAAGTTAGAAAAGCCGAGTCAACTAGGTTAACTCGGGTAACTCGACCGAAATGAACGAATTAACTCGGTCGGCCGGTCGCCTAGACCGATTTTTGCAACAAAACTTATAAGGCCAATGACCTAATGTCCTAATTAACTAAAAACAGCATAATTAAATATGGGCTGATTCAGCTCATGTGATCACTAAATTTGGTAGTATACAGAATTACAGACTAGCAATTTATGTAACACTATAGTATAACAGAAACTACACTCTGCTTGGTAGGTATACAAGGAAGCAGATGAACATTAGATTTATGGCACAGTACATTAAAGATTTTGTCATGAAGCAAAATTTCTGATATTACATGCACTTTCCCAGTCTTGAAGCTGCTTGAGTCTCTGCTTCCAGCAGACTATGTTCGAGCCGTCATGGTATGGTTTTGTCAACAGACGGTCGCATAGGATTTCAGGTTCCTGAAGATGAACACCATCATCATTAGAATAGAATAGAGGATTAGTCATTCTAGTTTTGTAGTCGCTGAAGGCCCCATGACTCTGAAGTGACTTAAGATCAGACAATTTATAGATATGTACCTGCAGGCTTATTCTTCCACATCCATTCCTGACCAGCTTGAAGGCCCTGCAAACAAGGACATAAGGTATGCTTAAAAATATGTACTTGAATTGAAAACAACACACAACATTGAACGTAGAACACATTAACCTGTTGGAAACGCGATGGATCATTTACTGAACCAGCTACATGTGGTAATTGTGCATAAGAATGTTCCTGCAATTCCCAAATTCCAAAGTGGATAAGGTCAAAGTTAAAGGATACCATTCAGAAATCACAACCCCCAAAACACACACATCATGGTTCTCTATAGACTATAGCTGTAAATACTTATATGCACCTAGCTAGAAGAGCACCATTTCTTGTGGGCAAAATTTGTAATGGCATACGTAATTCCTTTCTAATTGAAATTAATGATAACTTTATCATCATTGTATGTTTCTCTCTTAAAGGAAATTGAATTTATTTATCTTTGTATACTTGCTGTACATATGCTCTGAAAGATGTGCATAAGATTTTTCATTCATGGCATAGGTATTTATATACTGTGAATATGATTTTACAATAAGTTCCAACATTCACATTAACATATATGTATATGCTATGTAATATGCACATTGAACATGCATTTCCTGAATATGTAGTCATTTTGAACCAATGCTAGTTGTTGAACATGCATTTAAATTCATTTGGACATCCATGGTATAGAATATGTATATTCATAGTGTACCTGCATAGAATCTGAATATACATTTGTGCAATGACATGAAAATATAAACTAAAAGTTTGAAATAGCTATTATATATGTATATAATAGCATTTGAACATATATTGCATATCATTGGGACATGCATATTAAATCATCTGAATTTCTATATAGATCTGACACGTAAATGACCATAGCTGGACACCTATAGTATACCATCATAGAGTAGCATCTAATCATTCATATTATATGCTCTGAATATTTACACAGCTTTTGCTAAATTCTGTGGTTATACCTATACTTGTATTTATCGCTTCATCAACTGTAGATGCTGACAGTTATTCTTTGTAATTAGAAAAAGTAGAGGAAAGCAATCACTCAAATGCCATGGAATAGAAATGGTGAGTTAAAACTGTAATGTCATATTCTGATGTATGGCTGTATTCAATCACTTTAGGCTCATTCTCACTTGCAGTTTTGCCATCTATAAAATATGAAATGTTATTCTAACTAAACACCACTGATATTTTATTGTACGGTCCATTTTCACAAAGCTTTATGCTGATAAGTTGCAAAAAAAGGACGAAACTCAATAGATCGAGAACAATAAGCATTGTTTACCTGATTACTCCGTTGACCAGTCACTCCGGGAACCTGATACTGGCAAATGAAAAACAACACAATAATGAAGAATTCAATAAAATATGTGACCTGTATATATCAAGTGAGACTGAAACTAAGTAACTAACCGATGAAGGTTGAGATGTTTGTTGCAACTGTTGTGGAGGGCGGAATTGGATCTGAAGTGGATTCTGATACTGTCCTTGCATCTGAGGTGCTTGCTGTGGAGATATAACCTGAGAATAAGACTGCATCTGAGGCTGTTGGATGGAAGGTTTTGTTTGATGTGTCTGCTTCTGCTGCTGCTGCTGTTGTTCATACAAAGTCAACTCATCTGGCTTTTCCCACTAAACACCAAAAAATAAAAGCAAATTATAATCAGATCGTAAAAAGAGTAAAGCATCTTAACTAGCAGATTATTTATGCTCAGATATTTACTTTGCTTTCACCAGTTACACTGTTGTGGTAGTACTTGTATCCGTCAGGGGCAGTGTGTTCTGTCCAGTCACATTTTAAAGTAGCAATGGTCTGACTAGTTGCAGGAGCAGCAGGTGCTGCAGATGTAGGAGGAGGTGACTGAAAAGAAGTAATTGCAGGTGCAGGCTGCATAGTCCCAGGCCAAGAAGACTGCAGGAAAAAGATGTATCCTCAGCTTATGGCATTAGAATGTCCATTCATGATCAGGAAGTAAGCATCATATTTGAAATTTGAGAGAGGAAAATTATTTGTTAACAAAAAGCAAAAACAGGTGCCACTCACACAATAGCCCTGAGCTCAATACAATAGCATAGATATGAGAAACCAGAACTCTTTGATGTAAGGACAGTTAGAAAATTAGCAAATCTAAATAATCCTGACATTTGATAGTCTTATAGAAAATGTTTAACAAGAAATCCCACAAAATGATTTGAAAGAAATACTTGAAAATTGATGTACCTGTTTAGCAGCCTGTGAACCCTGATGGGTTGTTAAGTTCTGATTTGACGGTTGCATCATCTGCAGTTGTTGCTGAAGCTGAGAGAAGGCTTGCTGTGATGACTGAAAGCTTGCCTGTAAAGTTTGTGTCTGTTGTGACAGCATCTGGGCTAACTGAGAAGGCGATTGGTGAAGATGTTGAAGGGACTGTTGATTAGGCAGTTGTTGGTTTGCCAGGCCAGATGGTACAGTCTGCTGCACTTGGGGTTGAGTCATAGCAAACTCCCCATGCAAACCAGGCTGCTGAGATGTCATTGCCTGACTAACTGGACCTTGACCAGCAGATTGGGGCATCTGTACTTGATGAAGCTGCCGGAGCAAAGCAGGAGAATTTTGCGTTTGAGTGAAGGGTGTTGACACTGGTTGCTGTAGTTGCAGGGAAGAAGGCAAGTGTTGTGGTGATGGAAGTGGCTTCTGCAACGGAGAAATTTGTGGACCAACTGAATGGCTTTGCACCAATGGCTGGTTCAAACTCTGAAATAAAATTCACTATTTAGGTGAAGAAGTTCAACAAATTGAAAGCAGCAAAACTAATGAAGTTTCAATTGCTTTGTACCTGTTGAGACATAGAAGATGAAACAGAAAGTCCCAGATATGAACCATCTCCATTGCCACTATGGCCACCCTGAACATTTTACGAAAGCAACATGACGCTAACTGTTGATGGGACAATACTTCAATGTAACACGTTTATCAAATTAAGTATCAATTACATTATACCTGTTGTGACATAGAAGTAGAAGAAACTGGAAATGAACTGTCACTACTGCCCCCCTAAAATTTATTGCAAGTAACATGAAGACAACATTATTAACACGTAACAATGCTAATTTGTATGCCCACCCAACCCCCCTCCCCCCCCCCCCCCCCAAAAAAAAAAGGGGGTATAAGTTACTATGGAAAAAAGTAAATGAACAAAAACCCTTCAAAAGTTTGTAAATTTTAGTGGAATATTTTTCCTTACCAGTGCAGATGACACTTGCACATCATTTGATCTATGAGGAAACTGATTTCCAAAACCATGGATGCTAGCATTAGATATTGGTCCAGGATTTGGAGCAGCCATAGGACGCCATGCATTAGGAGCAATCTGGTCGTGCACAGGCTCGCTAAGAGTTGGAGGTGGTCTATGTGAAGGCATTAGTAAAAGCAAAAGATTAACACGAAATAACATACATGGAATGCAAATAGAAATATTGATAGGATCATACCTAATTCCAGGTGCTTGAAAGTGAGGCCCAGAGCCAGGCCCCCCAAATGATGGACCTCTGAAAACAAAAGGAAATCATATGAAGTAAACAATAGACACACGGGAAGGTAAAGAAAGGAGCAAGTATTAAAGAAAACAATTTATAATTGGTACTAGAAAATAGAATAACAACTCTCAAAAGCATCAGTGGAAGTGCTTACGTGTGAATGCTCAACTTTTATTTATTACAGTATTTTCTTTTTATACAAGTGTGTGGATGTTCAAATTAATAAGCCATAAACAGCATATGCAGTTATAGAAAAACCACTGGTTTCAAGAAGACAGGAGTCCTATGATTACTTCTGAAATGAAAATAATGGCTAAAATAGAAACTTCAACCTTGACTCTCCAGATCTAGGCCTCTTAGGGTCAGCAAATCGAACAGTCAATGGCTGATCACATCCCTGGTATAAAAAAGGAGATTATTAATTGATTCAGGTGCAAATACTAATCGAAAAAGGATCAAGGCTCAAACAATAGCAGTATAGCGCATTGACAACTGATGAAAACTTAGTGAACTTACTCTCATTGTAAACTTTCCACTAAGAGCATTAATTGCTGCCAATGCCGTGTCTCTATTTGAATATTTGACAAATCCACATCCTTCAAAGCATTTCAAAAACAAGGAGTTAGGAAAAGGTAATACAACTATTGCACAGACAAGTAAACAATAACTAAAACAAATAAACAAAGATGCAAAGACCAAAATAAATAATAAAGATGGATTTTTAACATCACATGTTCACATACCCTGTATAAATATCAATCCCACTTTCTTTCATTCAAAAACTATTGTTTTCAACAACATTATAAGGCTAATAAAATGGAGAAATTTATAAGATACTAAAAACAGGAATGACTGCTCAACTACTTAGAAATAGAATGATGTTCAACATACAAGTAATGCACTTGCAGTATAGACTTATGAATCACGGCTCAAATCTTTTGATGCATGCAAACAAAGATCACTATGAGGCAGCATCACCAAACGAGGAGTGCTTCTTTTAATATCATGCAATCAAATGTGCAGGGTACAGAGTATAAAATAGGATCAGAGAAAAATGCAATGACAAACCACGACTCTGCTTCATCTCATCACGCATGAGATAGACATCTTCAACACGGCCATAAGGAGAAAAAATCTGGAGAAAGGAAATACCAACAATAGTTAGTTAAGCAGTCAAATGATACAATAAACAGATAAAATTAATGTGTAAAAAAGTAAACCACAGAAATTCTTCTTTCTTCTTCTTTGACTAAAAGGTCATAATTTGAGAGAAAAACTTAATATCTTCTAGAGATTCAAATTCCCCTGCACTTGGTCACATGTCTTAGAATTCATTACTATAAACATTTTTAAGTCCCTTTTTAAGTTTTTATGATCTTCGTCCTTCAGGGACCTTTGGAGATACAAGATAGGATGGATCAAGTCTGAAGGCATAAATTTTCTGATTGTCTTTGATACTCAGCTTAAGCTAAAGGACAGCACCAAAATGAAACAATTGCAATCATGAAAAAGTTTCATTTTATGCACCAAACATACCTCTTCAACTTCCTTCACTGAAGCTTGTTTGTTCAGTGACCCAACAAACAACTTATACTCAATTGTACCTGTAGAGAACATATGAAGGGTAAAAGAATTCGCATATAAAAGTTAGTACCAACTTGTCATTGCAGAATGAAGAAAGTCCCAAAAGCAAAGGGAATAAGGCACTTGGCAGTTGGCAATCATTGAAAGGAATACGGTGGAGTTTTAAATGTTGAAATGTTCAAAATTAAATATACTGCAATCAGTTTTACATTACCAAGTCGTTCTCGTTCACCATCAGCATATCTGACTTGAATAGGACCTGTTCCCCCTTGTAAAGTATAATTGTTATGCAAAGCTCTAATGGCTCTATCAGCATCTTCAGGAGTAGCATATTTAATAAAGCAACATCCTGCAGAAGTCAAAAAATCGTGCTCTCATATCATCTGATAACAATTATCTTCACTAGAACTTTACAAGCCAGCACCATACAGATGCTTCATGCTTGAGAAATACTTGAAAATTCATTATTTGGTTGAAATAGACAACTAAGTTGCTTCAGGTAAAGTAACTGCATATTTATTTATTATTCGTACTAATCCAAACTTCAGGTCCTCGTAAAATGTTCAACTCAAACATCAATCTAATACCGCATGAAAAGCCTGTTCACGCTTATATTGAAGTTTACCACTGCTATAAGTACTGGAAAAAATGCATTGGATTGAGAAACTAAATGATGTTCAACAGCATCCACATAATATACTTAATAAAATACCAAGATTGTGAAAGAAAGAATAGCGCACTGTTACCACAGACATTGAGAAGCCACTGTTGGCTAACATATAGCACACAACATTTACTAATCACCACCACAAACTGCCCCAAAAAAATTAATAATAATAAATTAATAAACAATAACACGACCTTGATTCACCAAAGTGCAATTCATGATTTGCAGAGAACATTCACTACCTCAGAAACTAGATGTCTCTTATGTTCATCAACATTCATGAACAAAATTCAAGATAAATATACTTGGCATTGCAAAACAAGCAAGGGAAAAAAAAAAAAAAAAAAAAAAAAAAAAAAAAAAAAAAGCCTCTATATAGAGCTTATTAACTATGATGGGGAAAACCTTGAGAATCTCAGAGCTAAGGACATCGCGTAGATTTAAAGTCAAGGGTGCACCGTGCACATAATTGAGCATTAGTTGAAATGATGTGATTCATGATTATAATACTTAAAATCCAAACGATAGAAGAAAACAATGGGCAGCCCAGCTAAATCAAGTTGCTACTTGCTAGCTTATCATCACAGCCTTCAGCAATGAAGAGCCATCAGAACAGACAAAATCTAAGAGAGATAAAAGATATACAAATCAAGCAATTAGAAATGCATGAGCCTGATGTGTAGAACTGAATGGAGGCTGTTCATTCACCAGGCAGAAAATCACAAAATCCATCAGCATTGACTTGAAAGAATCACCAAAGATCCTCAAACTATCAGTGAAACCAATAGAAAATTGAAAAATAATAATAATAATAACTACATTGCGGACAAGAAGCTGATAGCAAAAATTGAAATCACTCCAGACAGGAAGAGACTGTAAGGGACAGCCCCGTAACTAAAAAGCAGTTTCTAGTCATACACAAAGATACAACAAGAGACATTTCATGGAAGAGATAGCACATCAGCTTAGTAGTTGTAACAAAGCAAAAGTGATATGGCTGTAAAGACATATTTGGACTTGCGCCTTTTTGATAAAATAATGCTTTCCATCCATCTACAGCTGTCTCAAATTGCAGACAGTTTCAGTGAAAATGGTTTCATTTTCACATCATATTTAACCAATTTCAATAGATCTTATGCCCTGTACAATTTACCAGAAATATTCAAATACGTTAAAGATGTCCACTTCAATCTACTCAAGGTCTCAAGCTATGCATATCCTTGCTCTACTTAATTTGAAGCAGAGGCATTTCCTCCAGACAATGGCTACTACACGAGAAATATCAATCAGTCTTCTAGAACGGGAACACACTCATACAGTGCATATCAAGCTACCAATCAAAGCCCGAGTACATTGTATTGTCACCAACATTAAAGCAAAAACATACACTAACAGCCACATGCAAATGACAAAATGGACTAATTTGATATCTCATACATGACAGAGACATCAACTTTTCAAAATACTAAAGGAAAAATTGCATACTAGAAATTGAATTCAATCATAAAGATCACAATTTTAACAACTGCACCAGACATATCCATCATATCAAAAATGAAAACATTCCATTTGTCAAGAGAAAATGGAGCAAACATTAAACAAGTGGCAAACTTCATTGGGCAAGCAGAATAAGACATCTTCCGAAATCTAAAGCATTGGGCATCCCATCCCATCAATATAAAGCAAAGGTCTAAACACTAAGAAAACCTCAAGCTAGGTGACCCAAAGGTCAAAGTCTATACATAAATAGGCACACCTTGTGTAACAACACCACAATTCATTAACTATGAAAAAGCACTCCACTAGAAATTGCATCAAATCATGCAGGATTCTAGACATCAACCACAGAGAAGAATATACCATAATCCATCAATCAAATATAAACAACAACTGATGGCTCAAATTCAACAGAACAACCAATTTTCGGTTATGATTCCATCAAACAAATATTAAGGCCCATTGGAAATCAGGCTCAAACTAGAGAGGCATCGCAACTTAGCACTAGTTCCCATGCCACCATCAATGGATTTCCATGTAGAATAACAGACTTAGTAACAACCATCATATCCTTGCTAAAGATTTTCTAACGATGCATCCCTGTATACAACCTTACCATCTCATAAACCCAAAATCAGATGTTGGACATGCCAACAACACTGGCAACTCAACCAAAGCATCATTGGCACTTGTGCCCAAAAACATCCACCAACTATTTGAAATCATGGGGGCACATGGCAAGAAAATTTAAAAGCAGCAAATATGGTAACTAACCATAAGCAGTAAATAACCATCCAGTCCATCCACTAGGGCCACAAGTAAACAATCACTCAGAATTTAGATAATTGAAAGATGGATAGAGTAAGCGTCCAAGGAGTTTAGGCACTATTAATAAACTAGGAGAATGGAAACAGACTATGACTAATGTATCTTTGTGTTTCATACAACAAAAAATAGTACAACACTTCAACTCCAATCACATCTAGGAATTCCATATATGCACAGGAATTTTAAACTTCACTGCAATGGAATCAGAAAATCCACTCAGACTCTCACACTAACACATTGTACTCAAATGAGAGATTGATAATTAACTCAACCGCTAAAAGAAAACAACAAACAAGGCCATGATGTAATCAATCAGCAGAATATTTTTTCCAATTCCATCACATAGCTTCCACAGCGCAGAGAACAAATTTAAATGACCAATTGGTAATACCCATCCTAATTTACAACTCAGCAACCATACATACCGGTAAAACACATTGAAACTGAAGCAATAAAAGAAGTTTACTTGTGACGAATGTCTGGAGAAAGAAAATAGTTGAATAATACAGGCATCAAAATGAGCAACTTCCAAACAAATAAGAAATGGAGAAGCCACACTGAACATCTGGAGCTAAAAGGCTACTAAAGACATCGATTAGCAATATACCAAACATCAATCATATCAAGGATCGTACAACAGTTCCAATTTAACACATAAAGAGAAAAGCGGTTATAGAAATCCCTAATACATTGCATTTACCCCAACTAGATATTGTAGTACATCACACACATGATCACTGATTTACAGTTTTCTACTGTCCAAGTAAAGGTAGATTTTATGTTTATACTTCTTGCCTTCTTGATTGACTTGACGAGCAACCAATTGGGGAAATTAACCAACACGAAACAAAAGCTTACAGTTGCTCCTCTCAGCCACTCAAAGGACCTGAAAAGATATATTTACATAGATCTCAATGAATTTGATAAAATACTGTACTGCACATACCTTGTGGCTGTCCCGTTCGCTTATCTTTAATCAAAGCAACCTCAAGCACACGTCCGTGTTCTTCAAATAAAGGTCGGATCTGAAACAACAACAACAACAACAGCAAAACAAAACAAAAAATAAATAAATAAAGGTCTCAACTGAATTTGAACTTATGAGTAACCCTAATGAAGAGACAGAAACACAGTTTGGTATGAGGGTGTCTTGCTTTGAGAGTTCAAAAATAACATGACATAAGGTATCTATTAGGTCTCCACATCAAATTAAATATTTCGTCTGAATTTATACTAACTTTTGTCCAAGTGAAGAGATCACTAATATTAGACAAATCAGCCCATTGAAATTCCTAGAAGCTGGCCTAATGGTCTAATTAAACTGTTGTCATTAATTCATTATAACTATATGAGAAAAAGAAGCAAATCAACAATACTAAAATATAAAATAAATTCACATTCAGTCAAATGGAAACAGTACAGTTGAACCAAATATAGAGAGCTAGAGAGCAATTCTTAGATGGTTTAGTAACATAATGAAACCAAAAACACACCTGAAAAGGAGGAGGATGTTAAATGTATACCCATTATAGACATGTTTATTTAATGGTTATCTCTATTCATAAATAGCCAAAAGAGCTGCTTTTTGGATAAACAAATATAGTCCTCTGGGTTCTTTCTCACTTCTTTTTGGTGTATTCAATAAGTACTCTGATTCAAGGGTTTACTTTTTTCTTTCAGAGACATCACTACAATCCCACTAGGAGTCTCTTTTCAACTCAAGACCTACAACGAAAATCATTCCACCACCAATTCACCAAACCAAGCACAAGCTTCTTTTCCTAAAAGGTTTATGATTAAGTTAACTACTATCCTATATTCCTATTTACATTGAACTTTAAAGTCAACCTTCTCTTACAAATAAATATGTTATTCAATGTTTCTAAAGTTGGAGCTATTCCTTAATGTTTTACAACTTACAAGTACTTTTGGAAAAATCCAATGAGTTTATAAATACATAAATAACATTCTTTCCTGAACAAAGTTGAACTACAAATTGTGTTCAAAAGTTTAGGAGATTAGAATTCTGTCCAATATAAACTATTGAGAATTTTCTGCCAAACTGAAACTTACCACCATAGCACTGGTAGTATATGCCTAGTAGGACCTAATAGCAGCTTGTATACTTCAAATTAAAACTTAAATCTGAACCTAATACGTAAACTGCATTTTAATGCATTGATAGAAGGGAAGACTTACATCTTCTTCTGTTACTGTTCTTGGGACAGATCCAACAAACAGTTTAGCAAAACTGCCTCCATCGAAGTGTTCTGGAAACAATTTTTCATAAGTGCATGTACATGAAATAAATAATGCAGAATCACACAGTGAAAGAATATGCAATAAGAAGGGAACAATTGAGCATTCACTTAATACCAACAATAAAGCATGTGTTACTATTTCAGAAAACAGTTTCCCACAATAGGAATTGTATATATGTAAATACATAAAATATGTCAAATAAAATAATAAGATTACGTTGTGCTTCCTTACACTGCTATATAAAGCTCATAAGTTCAATATTCATTATGCATTACCTGCTCAGGTGTCGTTAAATTCAGTTAAACTTTAAGGGGGCGTTTGGTTCAGGTTATATTTGCTTGGTAATATAAGATTCCCATGTTTGGTTCAGGTTATATAACTTTCCCAAGGAATGTCAGATAACCTCCGCATTAAGTTTTTAGCTATTGGAAGGGAATGTGAGATACCCTCCAATTTCTTAGGTAATCTCACATTCCCTTGTCTTATTACTAATGTTGGACTTTGTATTTTTTAATCAATTTATCTTATTATGGTTGTCTTATTTACATATCTTAGTTTTAAACCAAACACAAGAATCTAACATTCCCAGCCATCTAACATTCCCTAAGGTAATCTAACATTCCGTGAACAAAACGCCCCCTAAGTGTAAAGGAGCTCTAAAAAGCTTATAGGTTAAAATATACTAGAATTCATGAGCTCTAAAATCTTATACACAAAATTTATAACCCTATTTGTGACACCACAGAAACTCATTAAGTTTTAAAGTTTTTATATACTGTTCAGGCTTACATAAGCTTGCTGCTCGCCTACTCCTTTGAGTACAAAATTTTAAAAAACAAAACAAAAAATCTTACAGGACAAACTTAGAAGGTTTCACAAACTTAAACCTTCAAATGCAACACTCCAGGAACTCGTTGAGTTTTTAACTTTTTATATACTTTTCAGGCTTACATGTTAAAATATACATTAGGCTCACCATTTCCTGTGCTATAATTTTTTCAAATCTTACAGGAGAAAACTTAGATGGTGCTTTTCATAAACTTAAACCTTCAAATGCAACCAAGTAAGGTTGGTAAGGTATATTTACAGTTCAAATTGCAGAAAGTTCAATTTCATAAAGCTAAATTACTGAGTTTGAGATTGAATAATTCATATAATTCGCTTCAATAAGCATATTAACAAACATATAAACATCAATTTGAACTAATATAGAGCTACAAATTACAATATTTTTAAACCAATTATTAGTACAATGTCCCAAGTTACGGTATTACTTATCAAAAGAAAACGTTATCGGAAATACCTGGAGAGCTTCCTCCTCTACCCGAAAAGGGGTAAGCTCGTTTTTGCCCCGATACAGGTGGCATCTGGTAACCAGAATTATACCCTCCGCCTCCGCCACCGCCTCCCGCTGGTCGGAAACCTCCCACCCCAGCTCCACCAGTGCCGGGAGGGAAACGAGGAGGGCTATCAAATGCTCGGCGTTCTCCGCGGTAATTGCTAGGGCTACGGTGCTGGTGGTGGCTCACGGGGGCGTCGGAGGAAGAACGCATCGAGGAGTGGGGTCCACCCCTGGAAGGTCTATAGTGGTGTTGCGATTCCATTTGGTCGCCGTAACTCTCTCCCCTGTACCTCTCCATCGCCGGCGAAACCTGAAAACCGCCGGAAGAAAACGGGCCGCGAAGTAGAAGCGATAGAGATATGAAATCAATCGAGGTGAGAATCGACGACGAGAGAGAGAGAGAGAGAGTCTGGCGGGTCTATCTGCAGCTCACCAGCTCGGGACAGAGTTGAGGTCAAAGCGCCAAAAGGTAAGTAGTCTGTTGCCAGCTAAATACGATGTCGTTTCCTCATTTTCAGGCAATCAGAACCTCTTTTGCCCTTCACTTTCCACTCCGTAACCGTCTGGTTATTTTATCAATAAATACTTAAAATATTTCTAAAGAGTTAATTTCACCGGAGGTCCCTTGTCTTTGGTTGCAATTTCAAATTTAGTCTCAGACTATCGTTTTTGTCATTTTACATTTCATACTATCGTTTTTTGGACATTTTTAGTCCTTCTCATGATTTTTTTCTATTTTTAATAAAGGCATTTTGTCTCTTCATATTTTTCTTTTGTTATTTTTTCGGTTTCAACCAGTTTAATTGGTTTAGGACTTTACTAAAAATTGATTGAAAAATATGGTTACTAAAAATCAGAGGTTACCTAAATTTATAAACCAATTAAACTGGTTGAAAACAAAAAGATAACAAAATAAAAATATGAAGAGACAAAAATGCTTTTACTAAACATAGAAAAAAATATGAGAATGGCAAAAACGATAGTTTGTGACTGAATTTAAAATTGTCACCAAAGACAATGGACCTCCGATGAAATTAAATCTTTTCTAAATATTGCGTTTTGTAGGTCTTCCGGGATTTTTTTTCAGTGGGGCAAAGAAGCAAAGGGAAAAAAATTTAAAAATGTTCAAATACAAATAAGATTTTAAAAATATAAAACACATTATAAATTACAATACAAGGTTTATGATGAACTACGGGATAATACTCATCTATGCTCTCTCATATTTTGAAATCGTTGTAGAACTGCTTCATTTGACACTTGATCAAAAATATCATTTTCAACATACGCACTAAGCAATCATTTAATAAATCATCACTCATCCAGTTGCATAGAGATATCTTAATTAACTTCATAGCAGAAAATGTTCTTTCCACACCAGCAGTTGCAACTGGTAGGATCAAATACAACTTTAGAAGCAAATACACCAACGTATAATCCAAATGTCTTCTCGTTTCCACTATTTTTTTAGCTAATTCATCAATTTCATCCAATTTAGAGAAAGCAGGATCAGAAGTTACATCAACAAAATAAGTATGTTGGTTAGTTATCTTGTAATTGAAATTCAATATCAGAAAAATCATTTGGATAGAACTGTGCCAATCGAACTAATTTATCCATTCACAATGTTTTGATCTTTCTTTTGTAGTGCCCGTGACAAATCATTGGCAATTCCTAAAACATTCTTCATTAAGTGCGAGAAGAACACAAAATCAAAACATAAGACATTCTTCAATATTCTAAATGTTATGTCCTTTGTTTTGGATCCTGAATTATTTCGTCAGGAACATCAATCAGTAGAGAAAATAATGTGACAATGCTCACAAATGCTCCGTAATGAAATCCCCAACGTGACAATGCTCACAAATGCTCCGTAATGAAATCCCCAACGTGTATCACCATGACGTTTTAAAACTTCTTATTGATTCAAACCAGTTCTCGTTTCAATTGTATCATCATAAATTAAATCAATCAACATCTTTAATTGTTTGTCGAGAGAAGTATCAAATAGGCCCATCTACTAGTGCGAAGTGCTCAATTCTCACCACAAACTAAATTAAAGTCTAATTAGACACACTTACCTGCTAAATTTGTTCAATTAACTTTTTTTGCAGGTTGCTAACCAGTTGTCAATTTAATTATTTAAAAAAAAAAATTATGCCACTGACTGTCCGGCGAGAACAGCCGGTGGCTAAGTATTTCACAGACAGACGAACAACCACGGGTGTCAAACATGAGGTCTATATCTAGACCTCATGTTTTGAGGTCTAGATCTGGACCTCAAACGGCTTGGAACGACGACGGTGGCCATGGCCGCCGCTCTCGTTCCAAATGGCCATAGCCGTTCCCAGACAACCATGGCCGTCTAAAAAAAATTCCGACAGCCATGGCCGTCTAAAAAAATTCAAATTTTTTATTAGACGATCATGGCCATTTGGAACTAGTGCGACGGCCATGGTCGCCGCCCTCGTTCCAGGCCGTTTAAGGTTCAGATCTGGACCTCATGTTTGACAGGCGTGGCTGTCCAACTGTCTGTGAAATACTCAGCCACCGGCTATGGCTGAATTTTTTTTAATTAAATTATTATTTTTTAGTTAAAACTGAGGTATGTAATATAAACCTGTTTGGTTAGGGGTTATCTTTTATGTTATACTAATTTTTTTTTTACTTTAATACCCTTAACATAAATATGTATTTCAATAAACTAACTTCAAAATTAAAATAAATTAACTAAATAAGGCAATGGTAACAAATATAAGTATATGATTAAAAAATAATTAATTAAAAGCTTGAACTTAGAAAAAAATTACATTATAATATAACGCGACGTAATAAGAAATAAAATAAATAGATAATTACAAAAATAATTAAATATGATATGTATAATAAGCTAACATAAAACATAATAATTATAATTAAAATGGCAACATAGCAAATAAGCTAACACCCCCCTTATCGCGTTCAGCAATGACATTACCTAAAAGAGCCCACAACATCTATATCCGTACGTAGAACGTTATAATGATTATAAGCTTTAAAGGTTGCAACAGTATCATCAGCCTTGTTTTTAGCATGAAATACAAAGATCACTCCAACGACACAGCATCTCATCGTCTGCATCTTCACAAACTCATAAGCTTCTCCTGACTAAAATGTGAGAAAATAAATAAAAATTTCAGAAACCGTACGAGACAAGTTAATTTGGGCAGGAAAGTAGCGTTGATATACATACATGGAGCTCCTCATAGTAAGTGAGGGCAGATTTGCAGAATTTAACTATATTCACGTTCACGCATTTCTTCATCTGCAAAATAATAATAACAATAGTAAGATTTGAAATACAGAAATTCACATCAAATTCAATGGATAACAAACAGAAATCATACATATTCATCCATCGGCTCCACCTCATCATCATCTTTCCGTAAGACACAATGCTTTACTGTTAAGCGTTCATGTCCTTTATTCCAAGAACAAATAACATCCACCACAAAATTACGTATAGATTTACCATCTGCCTTTTCGCCAACAAATTCAAGGTGATAATAATCATCGGTACAACAAAACGTCAGTTCCTCCCTGTACGCCTCACGCATGCTCTTAAACTTCCAACACTCTCCTGGCTAAAAAGTAGACAAATTCAGGGAAAGTAATTTGATGGAGAGGGAAATAAATAGCATCAAGATGCATACATACATGTTGTGTCTCAAGAAGAGAAAGAGCAAAGTCGCACAGATCATACGCTTTTCCATTTTCCAGAGGGTGCATGCAACAACCCTAACACAAGCAATAACTTGTATGAGACAAGTTATTGATGGATTTGAACCAAATGCCAATTGAAATCGCATAAAATCAAAGACAACATATTAAAAGTGGAATAATAATTATTATGACATTGAATAGCAGAAAGCAGATTAGATCAACAGAGACAAGACGATCAAAACATTGCAAAATTATAATCCTAAATTTAACAGATACAGTTCAACCAGTTCTCCAACTTCTTGAGAGGAAAGTCTAAGACCACTCTAACACAAACAAATTGAGTAAATTGCAAAATTATAGAACCTAAAATTAATCATTATAGACAGATTTGGACCAAATGTCCATTGAAATTGCATAAAATCAAATAGAATGGAAGAAAACGTATTACAACATTGAATAGCAGATAGCATATTAGATCAACAGAAGCTGATGAAAGAAATAGTATTAAAATTGAATAATAATTATAACATTTACTAGCAGATTAGATAAACAGAAGACAAATTGAAAAATTATAACCCTAAAATTAACAGATAATGGATTGGAAACAGATGTCCATTGAAATCACGTGAAAGAAATAGTATTAAAAATTGGATTATAATTACGTCATTTAATAGCAGATTAGATAAACAGAAGACGAATTGAAAAATTATAACCCTAAAATTAACAGATAGTGGATTTGAAATCAAATTATAATTACGACAACGAATGGCAAATTAGATAAAAGGATGCGTACAAATTCCTCATCACTAGAGTAGTCATCAAATACGGTAGTCGTCTCCCCTCGTATAGCGGACTTCGAAGTGTCATTCATCTCCACCGCCTCAACTTTATAACCCTAGAAGATTAGATACGACCAAAACATTGCAAAATTATAACCCTAGAAATAACGATAATGGATTTGAAATAGATGTTCATTGAAATCACATTGAAGAAAAAGTCTAAAAAATTGAATTATAATTACAACACAGAGTAGAAGATTAGATAACAGAAGACAAAATTGCAAAATCATAACCCTAAAATTAACAGATAGTGGATTTGAAACAGATGCCCAGTGATATAATGTGAAAGAAATGGTATTAAAAAATTGGATTATAATTACGTCATTTAATTGCAGATTAGATAAACAGAAGACGAATTGAAAAATTATAACCCCAAAAATAACAGATAGTGGATTTGAAACAGATGCCTATTGAAATCACGTGAAAGAAATAGTATTAAAAATTGAATTATAATTACATCATTTAATAGCAGATAAGACAAATTGCAAAATTATAACCCTAAAATTAAACAGTATAGATGGATTAGAAACAGATAACCATTAAAATCACATCAAAGCAACTAGAATTGAAGAAAAAAGTAGTAACAATTGAATCATAATTACGACATTGAATAGCAGATTGGATAAACAGAAGACGAATTGCAAAATTATAATCGTAAAATTAATGATTATAGATGAATTTGAAACAGATGCCAAAAAGGACTAATAATTGAATCATAATTATTAAATCGAATGGCAAATTAGATAAAAAAGGAAGAGACCTGGGACCAGATTGCAGCCATAAGTATTCCACAAGCAAACAGTTAGAAGATGGTTTTCTGCGTTTTCAACTAGTTAGGATGGATTTACTTATACAGACTAAAAAACCTAACAATTACCTCAAATATGGGCCTGGGTCACCCAGATAACCTGTTTTTGGTAGATAAGAGAATTATATTTAGAATGTTCCTTACCCTTGCTGCATTTCCATATGTTTACCACCAATCATTATACAATGGCACAGATTGTGCTTAATTTCTGCTGTTCTCTTGTGGAAGTACGAGGCTCTAATGGCGTCATGGAGTTGGGTTCCGGCGTGCCCTGTGTTTTCCGGCCAGTATGGGGCAGTCTCCATGCAGTGAGGCTATAGCAGATAACAGCGTGGTTTAAGGATTTACTTGGTTCTGGGAATTGATTGGCGTTTTTTTCCGGAATAGTTGACCGGAGTAGCAGTTTGGTCCGGCGAAAAAAAAAAGAAACCGATGACAGCTTGTATGAATCGGGTTTGGTGTACATGGTGGAGCTGATCTTGATAAATGAAATGGCGCAAATTATACTGTGCAACCAAATGCACCTTGCAAGGTGCATACGGTTGCAAAACGGAGCCGTTTTGGTTAAAAAAACGTGCGTTCCACTTAAAGAAGAAATCATGTTCGATTTCCGGCAATAGCATTTTTATATATCCAGAAATTCATAACTATATATCTATAAATTCATAACTATATATCCACAGTGAATGAATGAAGTAAAAATCCACAATGAATAAAGTAAAAATCCACAATGAATAAACTAAATATCCATAAATTCATAACTATATATCCACAATGATTGAACTAAATATCCACAATGAATGAACTAAATATCCATAAATTCATAACTATATATCCATAAATTCATAACTATATATCCACAGTGAATGAATGAAGTAAATATATACAATAAATGAACTAAATATCCACAATGAATGAACTAAATATCCACAATAATCGAAATCTCGCCAGAAATTTTTAATAGGTCAAATAATGAGGGTATTTTAGTCATTTTACTATCTTTTCTTTCTTCTCCGATGAACTTTTCTCCATTTCTTCTCGGATGAGCTTCTCTCCAAACGGTCGGAAAAGGAAGATATCTAGAAATGAGGGAGCGGCGTCGGAAGAGGGCCCTGAACGAAGCTAAGACTGTGCATACACATATCCGGATCAATGGGCTTGAAAATAATGAGTTTTTGCAGACAAAGCTTGTCAACATGTACGCGGCATGTGGGGCGGTTGAGGAATCAAAGAGGGTGTTCGATGGAATGCCTGTGAGAAGTGTGTACCCGTGGAATGCGCTGCTTAGAGGAAATGTCGTGCTAGGTGGCTGTAATGATAGAAGAGGGATTGGAAGTGAACTCAGTTATTCTGACTACAATTCTTCCAGTTATTAGAGAAGTGTGGGCATGGAGAATTGGGCAGGAGGCCCATGCTTATGTACTCAAGACAAAGGACTACAACAAGCAATTGTTTATCCAGTCTCCTATGATAGATATGTACTGCAAGTGTGGAGATTTGGCCCGGATCTCTTCCTTTTTCGACCGTTTGGAGAGAAGTTCATCGGAGAAGAAATCATCGCCGGAAATGGAGAGAAGCTCATCGGAGAAGAAAGAAAAGATAGTAAAATGACTAAAATACCCTCATTATTTGACCTATTAAAATTTTCCGGTGAGATTTGGCCGGAAATTTGGCCGGTGTGACCAAAATTGATAGAAATTGCATAGTCAAAGTACTAAATTAACATTTTTGAAAGTCAAGTGTTGCAATTAACACAACTCCAATAGTTAGTGGACTAAAATTGAAATTTTCTCCACTCAAATATGTGAAAATGTTATTTAATTTTATTTTATATATACACTATAGTTTCATTAAAACACAACTACATGATCATTTCGATATAACTACATCTTCATTGTACATTATACACTCAAATATGTGAAATATTATTCAGTTTCATTTTAATTTTTAGATTACTTAGGTAATTTGAGTCTGATTATGTTATATTACCTTATTTAGTTTAAGTTATGAAATTACATGATAATATTATATTACTCCAAAACTGATGCGGCAATAATATTTCAAGGTAATGTAATTACTCTCAAATTTCTAAATAATCTTAGATTACCTTGAATTATTATGACTTTACTCTTGTTAATTAATAATAATAATAGATATATGTTTATACAATCAAATATTCAAGCATGTATATTTATATATTTAAATTTTTAATATTTAAACATTAATATTTTGTTTTTTTTTTTTGAAGAAATTAATATTTTGTTTATGTTATACGGAGTATTACTTTTCTAAAAGAATATAATATTCTCCAATGAATATATGTTTATATAATCAAATATTCATGCATGTATAATTTATATATTTAAAGTTTTAATATTTAAACATTAATAATTTTGTTTATGTTATACGGAGTATTATACTTTTCCAAAAGAATATTACATTCCCCAATGAATATTAGGTTATCTAATTTGGCAAATCAAATTGTTGATCGATCATGATTACACACAAATGTTTAATGCAACGTGAGAGTGGGTACAAGTATGCTGTATGGGAACCTTGACACGTGGTGGGTCTGCTTTGACGTTGTCGTTTTGTTTCAGATGGGAAGGCGATGCTTCTATAATCAATTTCATTTTCAATCTGATTGCACGTGAGATAGTGGCTCAAACTTCAAAATACTGGTGAACATTTTTTGTGCGAATCAAACCGCCCTTTTTATTGTAAGGAATTACGGAGTATAATTTTATTCCCATATAATTATGAAAACAAATAAAATCTTTTTTTTTTTTATTTGAAGAGTAGTTTTTTACGCGCGATTGGAATAATGCCCAATATTTTTCTTAAATAAGTATTTTAAAGTATATTAAGACAAGATTATATTAAAATCTGAACAACCTGAACTATTCATTTGATTAAATAATTTGACGGTTATTTTTTCTACCTAATGTTTATAATTAAATAAATATTTGAAAATATATAAATGCAAGATTATATATGAGAAGTTCAACATAAGTAATTTAATGTCTAATTTATTTATTTAAATATGTAATTCATAGTATATGAATACAATGTAATATAGGAGATTCATTATAATTCTTACTAAACTTTTTTTTTTTAAATAGTAACCAAGTATTTTTTGTTGCAAAGGGTTCTAATATATTTAATGAATGCACATATATACATGATCAATTGAATGAATCAACGGTACCAGTCCTTTAGGTGTTTTGCTCAATGTTCATTTAGTTCAACCATTAGTGTTGAATAAATTATTATGGATAAAGAAATTCCTAATTTAAGGAATTTAGATGTAGTAAAAATTTAAAATTTTTAATTATAATGTAACCCAAAGATATTGGACGATTGGTAAATATGATGTAACTCAAAGATCAAAATGCTAAAGAAAGTGTTTTGGTTATTCAACAGTTTGAAGCAACAATTTGTTCCAAACCACTGGAAATACAAACATTGCAATTTACAATATTTTCACTTAACATTTTTGAGAATGATTTCCCCAAAACACATCTATATTTAAAAAAATATTATTAAAAATTATTATTATTATTATTATTATTATTATTATTATTATTATTATTATTATTATTATTATTATTATTATTATTATTATTATATGTATACCCTTAGGCCATTTTAAATGTTAATTTAAACAACTAATTTTTTCAAATATCTTTTTACCAACCGTTGATATAATTCGCTGGTCAAATCCGCTAATATAATCCGCTAACGCTAACCGCTAACTGCTGATTGTCAAACAAGGACATTGCGAGGTAGTTTCTCACTTCAATTTGTTGTGTGATTTGAATACTCTCTTTGTCAACAAATCTCTTAGTTAATATAATTGGCTTTATTAATTTAAATTTTTTAAATTCTTTTCATGGTATTAATAAAATACTTGGTAAATAAATATATAGCATTATTTTGTATTATAACTTTGATATTTAACTAAAAAATAGTGCACAAAAAAAAAGATAATAGACAATGTAGTGAATATAATCAATTGATGAATTTGAATGTAACGAATTTTTACATTGTAAAAAAATAAAGACAATATAACTAATGAAATTATTTCTCTTAATTAATTTATTGATAATGAATAATTTTTTTTAATAAAGACATTGTAGGGACAATGCAGCGAATATAATCAATTGATTAATTTGAATTTTGAATGTAAAGAATTTTTATATTGGAGAAAAATAAATACAATATAACTAATGAAATTATTTCTCTTATTTAATTTATTGATAATGAATAATTTTTTTTAATAAATTAAAGAAATGCATATGTATTATTGTTTGTTGTAGCTACCAAATTATTATTTAATTTAATAAGAGTAAAATAGAGTACTAATTATGCCAACTTTGATTGGGATGTGGTTCGAACCTAAGATCTTTCTTATCTTATTGAAATCAATGAGTAAGTTAACGGTGAACTAACAGAAATTAACGAAAAAGATAATATTTAACGGAAAAGTTAATGGATAATCATCATATTCATTAAGGATAAATTAGGAAATTTAAAGGAAAAATTAAATTCTGAGCCATTCATTTGATTAAAAAAATTGACCGCCATTTTTTCTACCCATTATAGGCCTAACTCTCTTGGGCTCTTATTAGTATAGTAGATAGAAATTACAATTTTCTCATTTTTACATACAAAGTAATTAAAATCTCATGTCTTTTCTTGATTTTTTATTTTATTTTGTAACTTTTGAAAAGAAAATAAAAAATAAATTGAGACAAACTCACTATTTTCTCTATAACATAAAATTGATATTTTATTGTCATGCTATAATAAATATAGACATTTTAATCTTTATATTATTTATTCTCTTTCAATTTATATTAATATCGAATATTTGTAGTTGAAACTCATAATAAGTCTATTCATGCAAATCAAACAATATAAATTTTATTCATATATTATTTATTTGTCATTGAATTGCAATTCATTTTCCTACTAATTCTTTCCTGCAATCGAACGACACGTTAAGTTTTTTTTTTTTTTTTGGTCAAGTGATAAAGAAGAAAGAGGAAAACTTTTATTTATTTTTTGTAATAGGCTAAAAAATACCTTTAAATACTCTCGGCAGGCACTATTATGCACTAACTCACCATCATCGTTTCTTTTTCTTCTTCTTCTTCTTCTCATTGAGTCTACAAAAAACTTGCACTTCTATAATATACTCTTATATTTGTCCTGCCACACACAAACTAAAAAAAATAATAAAACATGAATTACTACGTTATATTCTTAACACGCCCCCTCCTCACGTGTTCGGGTTGATTACTTTTGATGGGCTCCAAACAACACGTGAACCATAGTTTTTTTTTTTTTTTTTTTTATCGGTGACACGGAGATTCGAACCCATAACCTTTGACATGACTTTGATACCAG